TCTGGTAATTAAGAATGTGTATTTATTAAACACTATCAGGTTGTCCTCCCTGGACCGCTGCTGCCTCTCTGCGAGCTTCACTGATCTCCTGACTGTTGTGGTGGGTGGACTTCTTCTTGGCCCACACCTCATTTTTATTCCTTTTGAAAGTCCACCTCTGTGACCCCCTCCCCCCACCCCTCCCTCCTCCCGCTTGCCCAAAGCTTTCAAGCATGAAAATCATTAATACTTCTGCTGCCTTGGAATTCCTTGTTTTGTCTCTTGCATCGGCGTAGTTCCTGAAACTAAAGAAGTGGTGATCCACTAAGTACAAGGACCCCCATGGTGAGTCCTCACTGCTTCCTGTCAGAGTGCGTCCCCCTCCCCAGGTGCATGCACCTCACCACGGTGTGCTCCCCATTCAGCTCACCGGGGAACACTGCGATGAATCTAAGTCTGGAAAGTGGCGCTTTCTAATTCAGTGTGGAAGCTGTTAACACTCACTTTATAACGTGTGGATGTAATCAGTGAGTGCAGCGGTCTCTTCCTCTTAAAGGGTTTACACTTTGGCCCTGTACTCACTTTACTCAGCGTAATGAGAGGGTGGCACCAAAGTTAGGGTTTCCACTTTTATCTCACACTCAGTAAGGGGCATTTCCTTGTTACAATTCATGGTTTTATAGCTTATCAGAGGCCAAACGATGGCTACCCAGTGGTTTAAAACACTACAAGGAGAGTATTTAAGAAAAGTAAGATTTATTGGATCATTTGGTGGCACACATGAAACACATGTTTTGAAAATCAGAAAAACAAAGTGGGAATGTTGTGCACCTCTCCATGCACTACTGTTATGCACAATATTAGGGATTTTGTTCAAAGTAGTAGGTTGTGCTTATATTCCCTTAAACCATTGCATCCCCAAATGAGTTGAAGAATGAAGGAAATTAGTATAATTGATGCCAGGTAACCGTTCGGTAACAGCATTCCTTCGTACTGATTTTAGTCTTCAAACTCCACAGGTTACCTGTTAAAACCTCATTGTGGCATTCCCATTAATATGTTGGACCTCCACTCCTCGTGTGATGTAGAAGTCCCACCCCCCCGGACCACTGTCCTCCTCACGCTGTCTCTCCCTCTGCAGGCTCATCAGATCTGTTACTCCGTCCTCTGCCTTTTCTCTTACGTGGCGGCGGTGAAGGGGAAGGAGGCGGAAGGAAAACCCAAGATGCTGTCACCGAGACCCCTTCCTAGCTAGTCTACGAACCCCCCCCCCCTCTCCCTCCCGAGTGAGTGCTGCTCTATGTGTAATGGCACCTCAGCTCTCCAACCACAGACTTCTGACAATCCCCTAACTTGATTCTAAGCACACGATGCCCAGCGCCCTCCTCTTGTAAATACAAGCCCGAGACCCTCTTTTAGCCCCTGTTGTGTAGACGTGTTTAGTCCGTGACGTTGTGTAAATACTGCCCTCACCGCTGTCGTCCTGACGCTCAAACCAACAGCTCAATGTTTGCCTGCCCCTGCTCCACATCACTCTCCTCGGCCTGAAAGTCTTCGATTGTTCCTGCTGCCAAGACCCAACTGTTTGAAGAAGTGAGGGACCCCCCGCACCCCACGAGGCACAGAGTGCATGCAGGTCCCGTGCACAGCCTTGACTTTCACTACAGAGTAGCCCCCCCCCGTGTCCATTCGACTGTGTGAGTTATTCTGTGATTCTGTGGTTTACTGTAAAGTTCCAGTCCGTCCGAGTTTAAACTGGTTAACACTCCTGTAGGTTCTGAAGGCTTCTGTACGGCAGCCGAGCAGCGCATGTAAACGCTTCTTCAAAGTGTTGGAACCCTAAAATAATGTGAGTGTTCTTCGCTGTGTCCCCCTCGCCCTCAATCGGACCCCCCCCGGGCTGAATTACTGTTCTAGTTCTGCTGTAAAACTTCTCGTCTGTGGTCTGCTGTTATCAATTGCATGTTACTATAAGGATGAAAAATAAATATTATATATATTTCTATATATAGTATTTATTTAATATATACATATGACTGTACATTTATCTGGAAAAATAATGTTACAAATTGTTGATTTGCTAGATGTGCAATACTTAATGAGTAGTTAGCCATTGCCAGAGCCATGTTTTTTTTTGTAGTTAACTGGCTTTCACAGGGTGACGAATGTATGAAAGACGTTTTTTTTTCTATATAGATTGAAGTGAATAATATGACTTCATTTGAGTGTTTAAGTTTGTCAATCATCTGATTTACACAAGGCAAAAAACAGCTGCTGTGTTGCTTTCTGTGGCGCTATCTTTGGAGCGTTTTGCACTCAGTCCACCCCAGTGACATCACAGCGAGTATCTGTAACACGAGACACGCTTATAATTCAGCCTGCTCGTCATGTGAAAGGCATCTCTTGTTCTAAACTAATATTATTTTTTTATTGAAGTCTTCCTAAGCTAAATGTTGTCTTCTGCTGTGTCTCTGATGGGAATCTGCTAAATAAAAAAATAATATTGGCAGTGGAAGACACAAAAGAGTAAACAACTAACCTTACTGAACCTGGAAATGTAAATGATATATACACTAACTTAACAGCAATCTCTTGTCAAAAGTGATAACAACTCTATAGGTAAATATTTTGGTATGGAAGTAACCAATAGCATTTCTCTGAACTTATAACCTGAACAAGTACAGACGATTAGATATTAGTTACAGAATGTGGCGCAACACTGGCGCTGTTTTGGTGTGAGTGAATCCGTAAACGTAGAAACGGAGTGTGGCACCAGAAGTACAAAATCCTCCAAAGTCTCCAGCAGCAGTTTTTTTCTGTGAGTTTATTTCAGACGTGTTGAAGCGTAACATCGTGTGTGTGTGTGTGTGTGTGTGTGTGTGTGTGTGTGTGTGTGTGTGTGTGTGTGTGTGTGTGTGTGTGTGTGTGTGTGTGTGTGTGTGTGTGTGTGTGTGTGTGTGTGTGTGTGTGTGTGTGTGTGTGTGTGTGTGTGTGTGTGTGTGTGTGTGTGTGTGTGTGTCCGTCCAGATCAGCAATACATTGGAACAGCTCTATCACTGGAAGTTGTTTTTGGATTCTGACATGCTTTTATTTTCTTGTGATTTAACTGTTCAAAGGAAAAAAATCTGTAGGATATTCAGAAGATACTGTTCCATTAATGAATATATTATAAATAAATAATATATAAAAAAGACAGAACTCCATCTGAAGCATCTCTGGAAGTGGTTTGGGACACGCTTAAGTTAAACAATTTTCTTTTCAAAACTGGATTATTCCAACTCATCTCTCATTGTGCTGACTGCTGTGATCAGAGGAACACATGGGATGAGACGCCTGGTGGAAGTATTCCAGTATATGAAAAAAAGTGTTAATAGAATATGTACAGCTTTGGCAATATAATAAAGTAATCGCAAATAAAGCTCAGTGTCCTTTTATGAAAAAAAACAAGGTGGGAGAAAAGGAAGCTGAGGCGAAAGCATTAAGACTGATTATTTTATTCAAGAGTGTGCAAAATGAGGATCTAATCAGCGACAGACTGAACCATCATCATCATCATCGTCCATATTATCTTGAGGTTTACAAAATATGAATTTGGAGTAAAGTAGGTTTTTGGCAGCAGGAGAAGATTTGAAGCTAAGGACGACTCCAGAGTAAAGAGATCAATAACATGACACGTGAGCACATGGTGGTGTTTACTAACATAATAAAAACAGTTTGAAGGATCAGTTTACTTATATTAAAAAAAACTGTGTTTCATCACTATGGTAGCCAAAGAGAGCATTTTGGATCTCAGGATATATTTTGATGTCAAAAAACATCTAATAAGTGCTGCTCGAAACATTAAAAATACTTAGTAGAAAATCTACTCTGGATATCACAGAGAGCTCTGTCAATAGTTTCACAGGAACTATTTATTTGATAAAAAGTAGTTCCACTATGAGATCTGTGGATTATCCAGATAATCAAGGCATCATTTCTGGATAAACAAATTGCTGTTTAATTTTTTCAATGTAAGATTTACATCCTTGGAGCACCTCTGGCCATATTCAGGAGATTTATAAGCCCATCTACTTTTGATCAGCTAAAATAAACCTGTTGTTTATTCAGCTTGTGCATTTGATGTGGTTTATTTCTTTGAAAAATATAAAAAAAACAATCTTTCATTCTGTCTAAAACAATTCCAATCTGGAAATGCAGGGTTTTGATTGGACAGAAGCCGTACTCTCCATATCAGGATGAAACAAAGCGCTGAGTTGGCAGGTGCCGGTTAAGTAGAAAGTACCTGTATCTATAACCAGGCTGAACTGACTATCACATTTACAAATGCCACTTGTAGTACTGCAGCTTTAAGGCAATTTTACATTCAGACTGCAGCGCTACAGGACAGAGGGAGAGTCAAGGACACCAGCTCCTTTGTGTCGGCACACGACTGAGCGGGACACTGCAGCAGAAGTTAAGAAGGAGAGGAAAATCACTCCCTGGTTCACCACTATTCTAAAACACTAGTAGACACTAACAATGTTTACTGAGTAACAATTTGGAAATTCACGAGTAAGAGGGAGTCGTTTGAGGCAGCCAAGTTGTCTTGAGCCAAATATTTTACCATAGAACTGGGAATGACGTATTTCTCTCTTTCTTTCAATCATAAAAAGTCATAATTACAGTATTCTCCTATGTAAATTAAAGCTTATAAAACCTATTTGTCACTATGACTGAATCGCAGAGCACCTTGGAAACATGAAAGCAAGGTGATGTTCATAATCTTTGCATTGAAGTGTTGCACTAAAGGTTTCAAAAGTGTCTGTCTTTAAACTTTGTATACAATGTGATGCTTGACTACTTTAGAGTCACCGATTTACATCTTGACCAGCTGTCAGATTCCTCAATATCTTTGTGCTTTGGCTTGACTCGCAGGTTAAAGATGCCCAACATCGCTCAGCTTCTCTGCTAGGGCTGTAAAGCTACCGTTTTAAATTCTGCAGTGTTTTTGGAGCTCAAATGTTCCCGTGGACAGAGTTGCGGAGTATCCGGAGGCGAGACATGACTTCATCCCAGTCCAGGTAGGCTCCCTCCAGCTGGCGCAGCCGGTCAGGTTTACTGACGTAGGGCCTCCGCCCGTGGAGCAGCCGCCAGTTATCGAAGGTCACGATGTCACCTGGAACACACCAACACCAACACTTCAGTTAAATATACTGCGTTACAATCTATAGACCACTCAAAGCACTTTAAACTACATTTCAACATTCACACATTCCTACAGTGTTGGTGGAGCTCTGGGAGTCATTCAGGGCTCAGTACTCCAAGGACAGACGTGACCTGCTTTACCTCCCATACAAGAGCCCCTCAGGCCAATAGCCTCTGTGAGTCAAAGTTGGCCTGACATGCATGTGTTTGCATCTTCAGTCGACGCACATGAACACACCGTTCAATCCATTTATTTTGCTCTTGTTTTTTTTTGTTTAGTTAGAGATTACAAAAAGAAACCCAATATCCTCTCTGAAAGCAGCCACATGTAGGGTAGGCCCGTTGTCAAAAATTGAATCAGTTTAAAATTAAGACAAAAGTCAAAGTATAGTTTGTCATAATATAGTGTATCATAAAAAAGCTATGATATCGAATGTCATAAAAAGCTCATAATACATGTTTGTCAAAAAGAAAGTCATTGTAATGTATAGTATAACTTGGTCGCTAACAAATGTCGCTGCATTATTTAGCTCATTGTATTTATTTATTTTCCTGGCATGCATATAGTTTACTTCATCTGCATTACTTGCACATTGGTCTTGCAACATAATCTACACACTATTTCATTTTAATCTATTCCACTCTGTTTCTTCTTGCACTATTTTATTTTGTATTTGTTTTATGTCCTATAAAACTATGTTGCAATGTTGGAGGAGCCTGGGATTTAAGATGTCCATTGCCACCCTGTAGCTACTGTGCATATGACATTAAAGCCTTTCATCTTGAATCATAAAAAAGCCATAGTATAGTTTTTCATTCAAATAAGTCTTAGTATAGTTTATTATAAGAAAAGTCATAGTATAATCATAAAAAGAGCTTTTCTTATATATTTTCTCTTTTTGTCCTCCACTGAATCATCAAACTGGTGGGCATAAGCCTGCTGCTGGGACGAGGGGACGTTACAGATGCATTCACTGAACCACTCAAAGTGCAGGTAGAGTCTGACCTGGCATCATCCTGTAGGTCACCACGTTCTCAGGGCGGTTCATGATGTCCACGTAGGCCCTGAGCGACCTGTAGAAGGGCTGGACCTGCTGCAGCGGCACGTCCAGAACCGAGTCTCTGGTGGCGTTGTTGAAGTTTATCCTCTCCACCCGACCTGTGGAACTGACGCTGTTCACACAGAGCAGTGGGGACAAGGTCAAACTAACAGCAGGACACCCAGGCTGTAGAGCTGAAACTCTAAGTCAACCATCGAATTAGATGCTCAACTTAATATTCTTTGGCAGCAATTCTTACAATTGATTAGTCTTTCAAGTCAAACATCAAGCAAACCTCCCTAAATCACTATTTGTGCTGCAACTAATTATCTTTTAACTATTGTTCAATTGTGTTTAAACTGGATCTGGTTCTCAACATTTCAGATATTAATATAAAATGGTACCAATGCTCACTTGATGTCTTTGTATTTCATTTCAAACCTTTATTTAACCAGGTGAATCCCATTGAGATCATCGATCTCTTTTTCAAGGGAGACCTGATGTCTTTTAATATTTTGTTGTGGCTGAGCAACTGTATAAAACCCAGGTTATTCAGTTTAATATCATATAAGATGATTAAATACAGTTGTCAGACAAGAGAGTTGAACAAAGTGGTTATTTTTCTTTTGATCCACTTATTGATTTGCAGATGAAATGTTGTCAGATATTTCACAGGTGATTGGAGTAAACAAGCACTTTGAAGATTTGTTTTTGGGATCTGGGTAACTTGATCAGGGTTCATCAATGAATGAAGAAACGTGTAGGTTTGCCCTGACAGGACACAATGATTATTCCCCAGACGTATTTGGACATGTGAGTCTTATTCCTGAGTTAGTTTTTTGTCTTATTCCATAACAACAAATATATTTTTGCAGGTCTGACTCTTTTCTGTTCCTCATGGCTCTGAAGGCCATTTCAGATTCTGAACAGCAGATGGCAGTATACCATTTCAAATCATACACACAAACTCAAAGCATTTAAAAAAAGCAGGTTTTCTAAATTTCCAAACTGTCGCTTCATACAGTGTGTGTGTGTGTGTGTGTGTGTGTGTGTGTGTGTGTGTGTGTGTGTGTGTGTGTGTGTGTGTGTGTGTGTGTGTGTGTGTGTGTGTGAGTGAGTGGGTCCACTCACTCGATGATGCTCTTCTTGGACTGCAGCAGGAAGTCGCAGTAGTCCATGCCCCCGTCGGTGAAGTCCACCTGGAGCGAGCTGAGGGTCCTGAAGGCCTCGGGGTCCTCTCTCTGCAGCTGCTCTGCCATGTGGAAGCCGTCCACCACCTCGCTCTCCCCCCCCTCCTCCGCCTGGCTGATGCAGTGCAGAAACTGCACCTACAGCATCACAAACACGTGCAGCACAAATGCTCTTTAACGACATGAAGGCAGAATGCCAGAAACGAAAGCATATCTGTTTGGAGCAGCTATTCCTCTAATAAGTCATGTCTCACTCACTCCAGGTGCAAAGTGTAGAGCTGGGTAGTCTGAGTGGAGGCTGAGGCCTCCTGAAGTGTACGCTACATTGTTAGCCATGGGTTTGTCCTGGACCTGCCATGTGTGCCTGAAGACAAAGATAACAGTCATTCATAAAAGCCACATTCATTAGTTTACTGGCTTTTAAAGATAAGCAGCCACAATTAGAGTGTGTGCAGAAAAAGGAAGCGATGACATGAACTTTGCAGCGATCCCCGAGGAGGGGGGGGGGGCAGCTTCACAGGAACGCTCCCACTGAAGTCTCAGAAGAAGAGGCTTCATTGGGATGCAGCCTGAGTCGAGCACTAATGAGGAAGAGTTATCTTCCATGTTGTGTTAGCATGCCTCGTTTGGATGCCCGACTCGTAGCAGCGCTCTGCTTCTCTGATGCCAGGCCTTCAGCCTCAGACTTCACTTCCAGCAGGATGAGCTCATCGGCTGGCAGGGGGACAGCTCCTCGCTCCAAACCTCCGTTCTGACTGAGTGCACCAGGTAATTCCTCTGGCTTCAAAACGCTGGAACGCTCTGAGGTTGTTTTCCCCTCTCTGTCCTGAACTAATCAGAGCTGCAATAAGTCAAAGGGATGAACTCTGGTGTGATGGAGGGCAAACAGACACCTTCTAAGCTTCTCCATGGAAACAAGGAATCAAGGCTACAGATTGTTGACTGGTGGACACACTTTCCTAAACATTAATACTGAAAAGTGAGAATGAGGGATCTTCTTTGGGCAACATATCTAGCTGCTTTTCCCCCTGGAAAGTATAGAGGAAGAAAGACATTTTTTCTTTTTCATTTTTACTCCAGCTAAAATATGATCGGTGGAAAAATCTGAAGTTCTGATTCATGTAGAGTCAGATTATAAAACAGTGGAGTGGCTGAAGACGACTGGAGAAAAAAGGGAGAAGTCACGCAGTCTTACCCGTAGAACGTCAGCCGGAGATAGCCGATCCTCTGGGCGAGGCGGGCCACTTGGCCCAGCTCGGCCGGCGCCCCCTTCAGGTACACGATGCCAACGCGGCGCAGCGCCAACAGCCAGGCCAGCGCCGCCTTATCGTCATGGAGCACTTCCTGGTAGTCGGCGGTGGGAATGTGCAATTTGGAGTCCCAGTAATAACGCTCTGAAGAGAGAGAGAGGATGGGGAAGAAATGTCACTTCATCTTAGAGGAGATTTACATAAACACACGTTTTTCCCTTTTGTGTTTGTCTGACAAGGATTAAGCCATGCGTCTGCGACATAGGGCTTTCCTTCCAAGCAGCCTGTCCTGGAGCTGCTCTGTTCAGCAAACAAACAAACACTGCAGGAACAGAACAGCACATTATTTGGACTACCCTGCATGTACCTGTTTAAGCTTCTTGTTAAGTAAAAAGCTCTATTTATTTGTCCTCACTGTCACACGGATAGACCTAACAACCTGTTTACTTACCAGAGGATATTGGCTGGTTTTTGGAGAGGCATGACTTCTAGTGACTTAGTCAGACGTTTGCTCACAAAGATACTTAATGTTTCCACTAAAGACACCTACTGCACATTAATACATCCCATCATTTGGTTCAACTGAAGAAATGATGACCAGTATTACTCAGGTGTGCAGCACGCTCATTCTCTAATACTTTCCATCACTCCCTTACGACATGTTCTTGCTCCTACATGACGGAAAGTAAGACGGATAATGTGCGTCAGGTGAGCTTCAGGCAAGTATGAACACTCTTCATATCAAATAAAACACATGATGAATGAATATGGAGTTGAAGTCTTTTAGCAAATCGTATCAATAATGGATCAGAAGAGTCTCGCAGTGTGATAGATTGTGTGTGTTTTGTCACAAAAGGAAACAATGAATTATTAACCCATCGTTGGTCTCCCATGTCTTTCATTTCAACAAGTCACAGCTTGCCATTGCACGCATTGTCTGCACACTTCAAAATGGATAGCTTGCTCAGAGAAAAAAAACAGTTTTGTCTCCATCAGACAGACAGACGTGGAAAAAGTCCTCCCACTGCTTTCCACCCAGCTGGCTCCACTCCTTTTTCCATGCAGCCTCTCTCAGGCGACTTCCACAGAAACAGCTGCTAAGTGCATTTGCAGCAGGAGGAGGAGGGATTAGCGGAGGAGATTGTGTACCTGTCTGCGTCTCCTCCTCGTGACTCTTTTCAACTCCCACCACCTTCAAAGCAACTCTTCCATTGGCTGCATCGCACACATCAGGAGGTTAAAGCCATCAGGAGAGACTGCACATCATTGACTGAGACGTTTAAAGACAATGTGACTGTTTGCTCTGAAGGTGGTGAAGTGTTACAGTCTCTACACACAGACTAGTGCTGAGGAATTTCAGAGTCTTGTTTTTTCTTAGAAATCTGTGAGGCGCAACATCACTCAAAGACTCTGTGACCATCATGACTCGCAGACCTCCCTCCAGGCTGTTGTCACAAATGATCAGCTTCTGGCCGCACAGTTCAAAGGGTCAGGGACCCCCGCTTGTTAAAGCCTGTCAGGAGGCTGGAGAGAAACAAAGGCAGAGAAGCAGAAACTGGGTCAGAGGTCATGCCTGAATGCTACAATTACTCTTGTGAAACTGGACCTGGATGTGTTGTACAGACACGGCGGTCTCTGCTCCACTGTTTAGGGAGTCACCGTGACCAGGATGCTGCAGCGCTTACACATCAGCTGTGCAGTAAAGCTAGAGTCCCCTTTGAAACATGCTTGCTGCTGTGGAGAGAGTTCACTGTGGCCGACTGGGGGAACAAAAGATGGAACTTTTTATGAAGATCTGCTGCTGATCGTGTAATCTGCTCCTCACATGTGCGTGTATTGTTACTGGAAAGGCTAATCACAAATCTCAGAAACAAAGGATCACGAGGAATGTATTTTTCTGCTCTCTTGCCAGCTCACAGTGGCAGCAGATTACAGAACAAATAAGGGCTGTGTCACCCCATAATCCTGCAGATACAAATCTGGTCCAATGTAGAACTGGTAAAACAGAATTTAGATGGTGTAAGTATAAATGTATCAAAGTTTAGAAAAACTTAAGTATTTGGGACATTTATTAATTTTCAGCTAAAGGAAAATATGCTTTTAGCAGCAAGCTCTATAAAGATCTCTGTACACAACCTGCTCAGCTTGGTATTAAGCGGCAACATAGAATAAAGTTGCTCTGTTACTGGTAAATGTTTAAATAATAAATAGTTGTGTCAATAAATAGGTTAAATGGCGTTTAATGCTTGTAATTGCTGGTTGCTCTGCTCATTTATACAACATGAGTGCAGTGTTCCCAGGACAGACTGTGCTGGTGTGTGCTTGAAGGGATACCTCTGACAGCCTGACAAGATAGTTTATGTGCATAATCCCCTCCCTGTCCGTCCGTCCCCCCCCGTCCCCCCCCGGCCGTGGTCTGCTACAGTGGCTTTTCCAGACGCTGAAACCCAAGCCGCGGCTCCTACGGCTGTCAGGCGGCTCGGGGCAGCTTGGCTCTCGCCTCACTGTGCTCTGTCTGAGCTCGCCGGAAAGCAGCTCTCTGCAGCTGGGTGCGCCTCAAAGCTCTGCTCAATCACTGCAGTTATCCACAGAGCCTTTGTTTTGTTGGTTCACTTTTATCACAGTACTGGGATCAGCTCACCTCAATGGGCCGTCCGTGGTGTGCACAGTGCAGGGCTCTGAGCCACATGGGCAGAACCACTGTTTTCTTTTTGGGAAAGAATAAGCTTTACAAATTATATTCAAGCTGTACCAAAGCATATCTCAAAGACTGTACTTAAATACAAATAAAAACAGATGTCCTTATTTCAGCTGCAATTTCAGCCCCAAATATCCCATTCTTATTAATACATGCTTTTTTGTTTTGTTATGCATGCTTCTTAGTTCATATGAAGCTGTTCATATTAAGCTGTTGGCTCTTTACTTGCTGTAATAAATGCAGATTTCCTCTTTGTGGGACAAATAAAGGTATTCTGATTCATAAACTCAGGTACTTCAGTTAAGTACACATATATATTCATTAGCACCTGGATCTTCAGTTCAAATGCTACCTACACATTAAAGCATCAGTAATAACAATAAAATAGAAAACAAATGCTGCACTTTGCACTACTATTCAAAATACATTTGGCTTCAAATATGTACATCATTTTTCTTAAATTATGTTTTTTAACACATGGATTTACCTGAAACCTGACCTTATTAAGTTCTTCCCTGACCACTGAATGAAGCATCTTCTGATTGACTCTAATTAATCACATCCAGTAATAAATCATTAACGCTGTTTCATCTTTGTTTACTTTAAGTGAATACAGATGATTTGAACCAGGTGTGTTGACTCCCTAATCAGCGTGTTAACAGCTGCAGGTGCTAAATGTGTTAATGATAAATAATTAGTGTTCTTAGACATAGCACCCATCACATTACCACACTGCTCACATGTTGTGCATTCATTAGTTTGTTACACAACCAATTAGACTGGCAATGTTAGATCTAATAAATGACATGTTTTGAAGAAAAAGCAGCACTATGTTTGGTAACTCGTCGTTATTTATATCTATATTAAGAAGTGGAACATTTGTTTTTCCTACAACAGCTTGAATCAGCGTCTCACACAAATACTTGTTTTGAGACTTTTATTCCTGGAAGGCTTGACATGTATTGAAGTCACTAAAGAAGTGCTTTACTTATAATTGTGTCATTGCAGGCTCTCATTTCAAGTCTTTGAATTGGGAGACGTTTTAAACCATAAATCGTTTTTACCAGACCCATGAGTCCCGAATTAATCAAATGTATGTTCGTAGTAACGATTAGCATGTGTGTTGGTGTTTCACACTGACATAATGCAAGAAAGTCACTCCAGCCTCCACTTATCCAACAGACAGCCCTTTATCTATGAAACTGTTGGGCAGACAGCCTCTGCTCTCCCAGCCTGCAGCAGACAGAGTGAGCAGTGTTTCCTCCACACACAACCCTTTCTCCATCAGCAAGTTCAGCTTCCCAAAAATCTACCAAGCCTTGCAGAAGTTTGCCAAATGTAGTCCCTTTCGCCAACTTCTACTCAATGCTTTCAGTATTATTCAAAGCGCCAAGCAGGAGGTCTGGCATGCAGGAGAAATGAAAAGAAATCCAATCATTATCATCTCAACAAGCTTTTCAAGCAGTCGGATGTTCAGGTGTTAACAATGTCATAAGCGATGACAAAGAGAAAGGATTTCAGCCAAATATAGTTGCTTTGTGAATTTACAGGAATACACTGTAAAAAACAAAAACTGCGAGGGGATGGAAAATAGTGAATTATAATGAAAGGAGGCCTAATTTCTCTTGAAGGAAACATCTGATACGTGTAAGCTTTGGCTGACCACCATTCTTTTTGACAAATCTGAATGGCCCACTACAACACACATCCTAATGATGGCTCATTATGACAAATGGAAACATAGATGAGGGTTATCATTCCTTAAATTCCTAACCGAATGATAGCACACCACATGTACACGTGCATGTAAGCACGTGTCCGCAGAGACGTTCTGCTGAAGCTGTGAATGGTGAGGTCAGAGAAAAAAACAACAGTTTTTCCATGGATGGATCTCCGCAGCTGTTTCCAGGAGTCTTTTGTGTCAACTGACGAGTGATGACATATACGGCTAAACTCAGACCAGATGGCAAAGAGGCAACTCCAGCCAGACAGGGAACTGACAAATCAGCTGCTACTTGGCTGAGTTATAGAAGCGGTCAGTGGACTTAATTGAGAAAAGACCAAACTAAGCTGAGTCTGTTTATAAGAGCTAATGAGTCATGAAGTTTACAATAACTGTCCAATGCAAACGGCAAACTATGACGTACACTGTGGGTTTTCCAATCAGGAAAAGACAGCCATGAAAAAGTCCACAGTGTAACAAGCCACACATAAAACTACAAAGAGAACCGGCCCAATCGCTCCAACGTTATCATTTGAGTGCCTTTATCTTAAAGGGAGGAGCAGATGTAGGTGCTTTGCCAATTACTGACAGATAAAAGTAAGTGGTAAAACAATGTAAGAGACAATTTGAAAAAAGCAGAACTTGAAGGTGGGGTAGGTAATTTTGGAGAAACCAGCTCGAGTGTGCTAGAATTTGAAAATACACAGCCGGAAAAAATCTGCCACTTCCTTACAGAGCCCCTCCTCAAACACACACGAATGCGCTCATGACCAATGAGGGCACGAGATAAGTTTGTGCACAGATGGAAGGCTGACAGGCAGGTAGGCCATCCAGTTATTTTAGCCGGCTCAGATGATTGGTCGTGCTTTTTACACGGCTTCCACAGATGACATTTTTGTATGGATTTTTTGTCAAAGCACTTAAGATATTCATTGCTATCGGGATGTTAAGAGCATTCCATGGAATATAACAGTAGCTTGAGCCGGTTTCTCAAACTTACCACCTTTAAAACCTTTAAAGAGACCTTAAATCAGTATAAAGTCTCACATGTTTATTTACCACCATATTCAGCTGAATAAACTCCAAGTCATGTGAGACCGCTATAGGGACGTGCAAACTGTTCTGTTTACATGACGCTGGGTGTTTGATGAGGATCTGCCAGCACGTACAAACAGCTTGTGGCCAAACATTTTCATCAGATTTAATCTGAGATCTTGGCGAACATTGGCAGATGACATTCACATGATGGCTATTTGGATGTGGAAAAAAAAGATTTAGGCTTAAGGGTTTTTGGAGGATAAGCGTTTTAGGCTTCTCCACAAAACGTATTTGTCCAAAAAAAAGGAAGGCATCTTTCAAAATAACTATTCTGTCGCCAAGAAAACTATTCTGCTAAATTGGAAAAACAGAAATCCACTCAGTCTTTCACAGTGGTTAAATCTTCTAACAGATCAGGTAACACAGGAACAAACTGTTACTCTAAAACATCTTTAAATTATTCAATCTTTTCTGTCTCAATCCCACATGGTCAAACACATAATCATTGTTCCATGCTGTGTCAAACTACATCAAACTGCAGTGCGGAAAGAAATGTGAAAGGACGGCCAGCAGCGGTACTTACTCCATCAGTACGACTCGCTGCATCACAGAAAATCACTCAACCTGTTAGGAATGACAGGCCTTTGTTGAGCGACAACATTTAACAGTTTAGTCAATACAATAAATGTTGCTGACAGGCTCCTTTAACAAATCTCTGGTGGTTAAATGTTTGAGAAATGGGCCTATTTTTACTTTTTGTGAAAATCCATTTAACCTGTTTCAAATCCCTCCTTTGAATACCACTGACATGAAATTAGTGAAGATTTCCACTCCGACTAAATAAACATGAAAGGCGCCAAATGGGAGGCCTGAGCGGATGACACGCTTCAAATATTAAAAGCATCTGGCAGGCATTTCAGTAAATCACTGACAGATTTATCGGTGAAAGGAAGGCTCATTGCAGATAAGGTTGTGAGTGACACAAGCTCTTGGTGTTCCCGAGAGCAATCCAGCATCATCACTCTGCTCCGGGTGACGGGACAGGTTCAAAAGGCAAACACCAGCAGGGAAAGGCATTGTGTTCCTTCCAAAGGTCCTGAACACATGATGAAGGTGTTTGATAAAACACCTATTTATCCGACAGCATGCTTGTCACATATCAGTTGGCTAATTGAATGTTTGACTGAAGTGCTGAACGCTGAGTGGCTCATAGGGGAGAGGGTTCAAGGAAGTAGAAATACATGAGCCCAAGAGACGACATTGAATAAAATACTTCTAGATAAACTAAAGTATTAAACAAATGTAATTCTGACCTGATATCGGCTCTAGATAAAAAGTCAGGTGCTCAAAAAGTGAATCAAGATTCCTCAATGAAGGCCGAACATATTGTATGTAAGATAAAGATACAACAAAGCTACCAAACTTCTCACAATAATGTGAAATAAAAATGGAAAAAATTCTAAAAGTTGATCATAAACAACATCGAACATCAAATAGTCTACCAACATACTGTAAACACGGTATATTGGGACATTAGAGAGTAAGTAGGAACATGTCGGTGAGAACTCCTCAGAGTTGGATACCAGGCAGTTTGAGGTTAAATTCCTGGTTACACATACCTACAGGCTCAGGGATTTGTTCGTTCCAAAGGAAGGAAATACTGACAACGGCAGCTTGTGTTTGGTAAGAACATGCAGATCTTTTCTCCACCCTCACTTTAAATCAGTTTTCCATATGGCGGGGCAGAAGGCTGAGACTCACATTTACACAGACGTCAGCCTTTCAGAGGGTCTTTACACTGTTTGTCTGGAGTTGATATGCAAAGGACAATAAACCAGAGATGCTGACAAATCACATGTGCGTCCAATACACTGCATGAGACATTTGATGAAAAGGTCAAACAGAGGAAGTGACTGTACAGTCATTATGTGTGGAAAGCCATTCAAAAGTAAAATGTTGTACTCATAATGGAAACCAGGAACTCACTAGAACTGCCTCCTAAAGTTGACCTGAACTTTTTCCTGAAAACTACTTTCTTTTTGTACAAGAAGCACACATTCAAAATAAATATATATTTTTTACATACGGGACTGTACAATAGCAATAAGAAAAGTATCTATGTAAATGAATGAAAGGACCTTGAGTCGTACTATACTAGCACTATCTCCATGACTCCCTCCGATAATAGCTGCTGCTGAACTACATGCTGCGGTTTGAGTTACACAACTGACTCCATAGAAACGGTAAAAGCAGAAGAAAAAACATTACTGAAAAGCTTGAGGTAAAGTACAAGCTGAATAATATTCCCCGAGCTCCAATTTTCATATTGACCTCACAGTGTCCTATGTGTGCTTCACTTTCACTGTCGAGAACACTTTAACAGGCGAACTCGGGCCTGTAAACCTAGTAAACCTACTGCATGAAAAAGGAAGCAGAAACTCAAACTGTGGACTGCGCTTCAGTGAGTAAGCGTCATGGTGAGTTAGGAGAAAATCTCGGGAGGTGAGCTCTGTTCATCATCCATTTCTTGAGAAAGTAGACCTTTCTGACAGAGGGGAATTTCAGGCTGGCACTCAGGAGGAAATAATTAATCCCAGAGAGAGTTTGCATGCGTACCTCCTCTTGTTTTGTTTTTTGGTATTTGAGCTGAGGGCTGTCTTCCTTGCTCTGAGCTGAGAGAAAGCATCTACTATACGTAATGACTATCTGACGGCAAAGTGTTGTGTGGGGGATCTGTTTACACTTCAACATGAATGGAGGAGTTGTGCAAGACACACATGTAACCATAATCAGTGTGGAGAGCAGCAGCCGCTCAGCCCTGTGGGTCCTTCAGGACCACGTGTGTGTACACAAACGGACTGCAGGCCATCCCCCGCTCCACTGGAACGCTGCTACCTTGTTCCACTGCTGAACTTTCTCCTCCGCTGTCTGGCAGGCAGTAAAACATATCGGGCCATTGCAAATGTACTGTCAAATGAGTTCTCTTTCCAGACCTTAGAGAAACCCCCTTCCTTAAAAACCCTGTCATGTTACTGAGAGAAGGAAATGAGTGGAAAGAAGAGTTCAAATCTGAGGCCGCTCGTTTTCCACGAAAGGTTAGCAGAGAACTCATTTTGTTAATAAAAGCTACCCACACATCAGAGAGCTTCTGTTCAACATATTTTAAACCTAATACAGTTTCATTTGAAATATTTCAATGTTTTATAAATTGTTCTTTTTCAACAAGATACACCTCATTCAAGCAATAATGATGCGGTTAAGTGAGAGCAAGTGATAGATCTGGTCAGCTAAATCGATTTCAATAATGCAGTATTTGTTAAATCAATAAAGAAAAAGGAAAAGAAGTGATGACTGTCAAAAACTCTGAATTGCATCAAGAGTAAAAGCTTTCTAATGTGCTGACATTGGACAAATAATACAAATAAGATCTGTTTTAAGTTGGCAATAAATCACAGGGAATTTGTAACTGAGTTGAAGTATTTCAATTGTGAAAAAGTCAAAAGTGATACTTCATCTCTATCTTCGTCAGATTGTTGCGATATAAATGGGTAACCTGAATTGAAAACAGACCTGTGGGCAACATTGGCAAGAGATATAAGGATTCACTTGGGAGTTTGGTGTGAACCAAAAAGGTGAGTACCCAAAGTGAAGTATCACATGTACTGCGTGTGGTCACAGTATGGAAAGGGACGGCCCTGCTTGTTTGCTTTTATATACAGGCAGGTAACACTCGCTGCTTGCCAAGCAGACAAATTGCTTTTCTCAGATACCACTTTGAAGATGCAGTAATTTATGACAGTGTTTGTTCATCCTGTTAATGCTCAGGCAGCTGCACTGTGATTTATGATTTCCTATAAACATCTCCTCTTGATCAACAACAAGGCACTCAATTAAAAAGTAATCATTAGTTTTAAAAGAGTGCAGTCCAATCAGCACAGGCTTTTACCTTTTGATTTTTGTCAGCAGTTTGAATGCATGTTGTTTTTGTTTCTCACCACTACAACTCTAACACTCACAGATTATTAGGATGTTTTGCAGGACGGTTGTTTTGGAATGCATTATTATAGGCTAGGTGTAACTAATAAAGTGGAAACTGAGTGTAATTATGCATGACAAATACCTCTTGTGCATTTAAATCAGCTAAGCTATACCTACATGGAAGATACAAAACAGATATAAAGAAAAGCATAGCTTGACTCACTATTGATGAAAAGCTCTTCCTGCATTGCTTGTCTGGCAGCATCCGAGAAACAGCGTTTCTTCAGCCACTCTGCATCAAACACACTGGTGTGCTGGTCGGGCCACACAATGGACACCTGTAGAGACACAGTATGCTTTTTCATTCCAACTAGACAAAAACATTTGAGCCCTTTTTCCATGTTTCCACTTCATAATAAGTTTGTTTTCATAAGACATCACCTGAAAGTGGACCTGTCTAAGTAAAGAGTAAGTGAAAACCTTTTTATTAAATGACACAATGTTGTCAAAATATTAGTGGGAAGGGTTAGAATATAATAATGCCCTAAAAGCATATATGTTTTATATATAAATTAATATATATCTGGTCAAAATAGGATTTCCTATGCTAACCTATTCGCTTTTTTATACCTGCGTAATACTTTATTTTGGCCAATGCAGCCATCAAATCCTTTATTTAGCCAAAAGCAAGCTTGAACCCATTGCTGTAATGAAATACATTTACTTTAATAGATTATCCGGTACATTTTTCTATGCTGGAGACAATACAAGACATGTATTGCTTTAAATCTTTATCAAAGCAAGCAAATGACACACGGTAGCTTGGCAGCACTATCACGTCAAAGCAATCCTTTTATAGCTGTGTCCCACTTCAGGGGCCCTCTGAAGGACGCAGGTGGCTCCTTTGGAGGACTTAAAGGTCAGACTCAATGTGTGCTACTGCCAAAATAACACCGCCCAACCTCACAGAACCTCAATTTATCCCCAGACAGTTGCCCTCAAACAGTCAACAAAAGCGTAAATGCCAAACATTAACTTGAACAGGTTTCATGATACAATCACTGTGAAAAGAATACAAAGATAGTAATAAGAATAGTACCATGGAAGTATTATATCATATTATATCAAAACCCCAGTGAAAAAAGCTGCAGGGTCACACAGAAGTTGCAACAGTCAAATGTTTGGCACTTTTGCTAAGATATATAGATGTGCTGTCCATCGATAATCAACATAACCGATTGTTTCAACTCTAATGTCATGTTATTAAATGACATTAGACCAACCTTATTTTAGTCGCAGTCTAAAATAAGATTTGTGTAGGGGAATTTCATGAGCTTTCATGCTCAATGTTTGGAGAACAGTTTTTATTTCATTCTCTAACTAAAGGATTTAAGGATGTATGTCTTGCTGTGGGTGGACACAGTGAGAAGCCCCTGTGCCGATAATGGCTTTGAAATCTTACCTGGTGTTGCTTTAAAAGCTCCAAAAGTAAAATCCTATTTTCTTTATTAGTTATGAGTTACACACCAACTTATTTTTTAAATGTGAGCATGCAACAGCATTATTAAATGTTCAAGCAAGCAAAATGTCCATTTCCCCCATCCATTTGAATGGTATTGTAAGATAGTGTTGCAAATCTTAAACCAAAGCTCTTTAAATGTGTGGAAAAAGTGGAAATGTACACAGCCAGTATGGTTAATAATTAAAACATTCACCTTTGGCAGCAGCCTACCTTGTTGTCATTAGTGACCTCCACAACGTCCACTCCAGTGTTGATATCTAGACCAGACATCAACAGTTTGCGGGCCTGCGCAGACTCCAGGGTACACAGTGGACACTGGCAGTTGTCTCTCAGCCAGGTGAACGGGTACAGACTGTGGCCTCCGTCCTCCCACTCCACCTCCATTATCCTCTCCTCATCCAGAGCCCGGACTTGTCTCACTGAGTGGCGAGCCAGAGGAAGGGCGGCAGACCCAAGAGTCTGCTGCCCACGAAGCTGCATCAAAGTTAGACAATAGGGAAGTGGACCTGCAGGCCTCCTCGGTCTACCACCAGCCCTCAGAGCCTGGCAGGCCATGGCAGAGGTTCCTCTCTGCAGGGCAGGTCTGGCCACACGTGCTAATGTACTCATCCACATTTCTGAATGGTTCCCTTGGGGCAAATCTGTCCACAGCTCAGAAAGGGCGACCACCTCTCTGAAGGTAATGAGAAACGGAAGTAATAAAATACTGTGTATCATGGAACAAACATTGGGAGTATCATACTAAAGCTAAATGTACTTGTGTTTTCTCTGAATGTCTTATAATAAAAGGAAAATCTTAGCCAAAAAAAAAGAGCACACATTTAGAAAGCATTTAAGATGTATACTTTAATTTTAAATAATGTTGTGAAAGACCCCATTTAAAAAGCAAAATGATGGTCGTACGTGTGTTTTTCATCAATGCCAATATCCTCAGATACAGTTCAAAATGTAAACTTGTTTTAAGTTGACCACGTTTTTCTAGACTCTGTCTGCTTACTTAGTGTGTTGATAAAAAACAGTATGTAACAGTGCCATAGTGAAACACTAGGGATGTAACGATATATCGAATATCGCGGTAAATAAATGTCTCAATACCGTTGTGAGACTGACGAAAATCTACTGCGATTTTTTTTTTTTTTTAAACTTTATTTAACCAGATGGTCCCATCGAGATCATCGATCTCTTCTTCACGAGAGACCTGTCCAACATGGCAGCAAGTAGGTTACAACATGAACATAAAACAACAGATAACACAAAAGGACATTGTATTTACAGGGCTACATGTACATACCTAGAGACATTGACAAGTACCAACAGTATATTTATATCTCGCCCTGTCAATAAGCCTCACCTTCTTGGAAAAACTGTATTGTTTTTTAAGTGGTGGAGAGACAATGCACAGTTTGACCCACTGCTGTCACCCATGGCCAAAGCATATCTCTCTGTCCCAGCAACATCTGTACCAAGCAAGAGAGTTTTTTCCACAGCAGGGGATATGGTAAACGCCCAAACATCCCAGCTTCAACCAGGAAATGTGGACATGCTCATATTCCTAAAAGATAACCTTGATGATGCTGAGTGAGTGAGTTAGTGAGTTAGAGTTGAGTTGCTTGAAGAACTAAAGTGAAACTAGATTTATTCTATTGCAGGGTCTGATTATTGTTGACACTTTAAAATAGTACTATCCTATTAAAATGCTGTACAAATCAGATGTGTTATTTAATAAAGAAAAAATAATTCAATAAAATAATAATAATTCACATTTGTTTCCTTTATTTTACAATATCGCGATAAATATCGTACTGGGACTTTTTATCGTGATATTATCGTACCGTGAGTTTTTGGTATCGTTACATCCCTATGAAACACAGAAGCATTATTTAAAGAAAAATAATACAAAGTGTGTGCTGTTATCACTGTTATCCATAATCCTGCACCTGTTGCTAACCCTATGTTATTTGTCCAGAAACTCCCAGAAAGTATAGCTCTCTTGTTATTCTCCTGTTAGTGTGACAGTGTTTGTATCGTTTTTTAAGGAAGAAGCTTTTGTTTAGCCTTTTAAATCCAATAAATCTATCTTGCTCTTTGTTTGAGTGGGGACGCTTCCTCTGACCTATCTCTTTAAAACTGCTTAATTCTGGTGCAGTTCTTGAAGCTGTGACATCACTACCAGCGGGTGCTTTGAGTTTGATGATTAGCACAAACAACAAAGATACAAAACATAAAGACTGTGAGAACCAAAGCCTCCCGACTAGTAGTTCACTTCAATTTTCAAACAGAAGTGTAGCCTCGGTTTAGTGTCCATTAAGGCGTGTAGTCAAGTCCTAACAGGCATAAGAAAAAGCTAACCTGGTTGTTAAATAGCTAATAAAGTAAAAGCAATCCCTGGGTCTTCCTGTATACAGTAGCCTACCTCTACAGTACTAACGCAGCTTCTCTCACATCCGGGTACTTTACCTGTTAGCTTTAACGTTTATGTATTAAAGTGCTACGAAAAAACAGTAAACGCGAGTTTTTGTCACTAACAAAGCTTATGTAGGCCTACCTGTAATGTTTTGACGACGGGTTCCTCTTCCCCACGAGATTCTCCTCCGTCAACACAAAGCCGGCCGGGCTGTCAGTGAGAGAGAGAGAGAGAGCAAGAGAGAGAGGGAAAGTGGGTGAAAGGTCGACCGGGAGGCTGCACTGTACACAGTGACATAATCATCGCTCAACAACACTCCCCACTAATATAAATATAGATAATGTAGTCCCGGGCAAACACTTTTGTGTTTAAATAAACAAAAGGGGAAAACATAATCTCTGTTTGCAGATAGGAAATATATCAGGACAACCTGTTGTTGCTAGTGTCGATTGGGTCAAATACGTTACATTAACTTATGTATAAGTACACCCTAGTTACTTTGTTCATATAATAACACACATGTATGATAATGTAGTACTGCAGGCCTATTACTTATCAACTTCACAAATATCACGGTATAGCTTATTTGACACAACACTGCAAAATGTCATGCCTCGATATTTAAATCTGAACCATCACACTGGTGGACACTCATATTATCACCAAAGTCAGTAGAGTTAATTGTCGAGCATAAAATTCTATAAAACATGTATGGCAGTTTCTTCCATAGCATTTTTAAGTCTGAACACAAGTTATGGACCAACCCATGGTTAAATTATACTTAACTCTCCTTAGAGCCTGTGGCTAAAGTGGCTAAGAAGTTGGGCTCATCTAAATGGTATTTGGCATTTTTCATTATTTTCTGCCAATGATTGCTTAATCAAGAAACTAATTGACGTATTAATCAATAATAGAGAACATTTAGGTAATGATTGTTTTCCTTCTTTGTGTTCAGTCATACCTCTTTTAATTAAGTACTTTTTACGTCCTTGGCAGGTTCCAGGAAGACGACCAGTACCCAATAGATGTGGACAACCTTCTTCTTTCCAATTCACAAGTTCACCCAATTTATAACATGGCAGGCCTGAGTTTCAAAGGGTAGGTGATGTTGACAACTCAGTCACCTTTGCAACTGACATCAGTGCACACGTGTCAATTAGCAACATCGACAGTGACACTATTGTATTATTTGACAGACTTTGAATTGATCCATTGAGTGGAATGCACCGGAGTATACCTACAGAGCATTATAAAAGGAATTCTAACCTATACATATCTTTAAAGATCCCTTAAAAATATAAAAAATGTAATCCTTTTTCCGGGGAGAATGTTTTTGTTGATGTCAGCATGCAATAACTGAATTTATTTTAAAATATTGAACACTGAGATTGATACCAAAAAGTTCAATGCAATCTAAAGTACAACGTTGAACAACTTTTCTGATAGTTTGGGATGAATGCTAAAGCAGAGGTCTTATTACAGCTTGATTGTTTGTTATCAGTGTTTTATAAATCTTATCCTCAGAAGGTTATGCCAGTCATTTATTTATCCAATGTATTTCCCCTCTCCAGGACATAACAATGTAGGTGAAAGGTTTCTGTAAAAACTGCATGTTACGTGTCCTTTATGTTGCCTCATCATGACTGTTACCAGTAGGCTCAAAGTATCTATTGACAGTGACTAACTACTGTACAAGTGAAACTGTCATACTGTACTTTGCTTTGTTACGTCGTTTACACCAGTTGGCACTTTTCCCATATGTTATAAAGTTCAGGATACTCATAGTATTTTAGTTCAAACTTTAATTAACTTAACAGTCACAATAATAATATCATATATCATATCATAATAATATCACAAATAATATGTTGTTCTCAGCAGAATGGTGACAAGTACAGGAAATAAAACAGGTTGTTTGTAAGGTCAGCCGCACAATAAATGCCGTCAACACAACTTCATTGCATCTCTGTTCCTCATAAATACCAACATCCAGCTTCTTCCTCTCTTTAAAGCACTCATATAGGGCTGTGTGTATAATTTACAGCAGACCACAAAACCTTGTAAAGCAAACACGGAGGGGAGCTTTGTAATTGTGGAGCACGTGGCAATGCAGTCCCAGTGATTAAGGAGCTACTGCCACATTGAAGGGGTGTACAATACGGACATCGATAGGGCAACTTAGCTACATAAGAAATGTTTGAACCTAACTTTGACGTCATTAGAGAAGAGACCAATAATGCTTGAAAGGGTGATACTCCCATAGAAACATGCTCTTGCAACAACACTTTCAAAACCAACTCTTTATTTATGAAGACACAACAAAATCGATTTAAAATAATGTCACAATGATTGTTGTTAACATTGAATTCCACAAGTGCTGCCTGCAGTCTTATCCATCATTTATTATGCTCTCACTACCTTAAAATATATAGATATATGCAGCTCAATTTGAAACTTTGTATAAAAAAGGAATACACAATAAGGTGTTTTGTAACAAAAAGATAGCACTCACAGTATTTACTTACTGTACTTAATATCAAACTGTACATTTTCCAGGATTATACAGCCTTCGCAGAACAGCACAGTAAATGCATTTTAAACCATGACACAACCTTAAGCACCGGAACAGTTAAAGAATTGTGCAAAGTTTACAAGCCCAAAAAGCAAAACTTAGTTTTCCATATGTAAACATTATTCAATATTCATAATCTGGAGTGTCAAAGAAGAGCAACAACAATGACTGCTCAAGTTAAGAGCATTCAAACAGCCTACTACATCATGCCCTCCACCCCCCTCGCTTACAGCTATGTCCATGAGTTATCCAAAACAAATATATCTTTAGTGAATGTTTTGTAAATGTGGATACTTACAAATGAGTTGAACAACATATCCAACATTTGACTTAATCCTCAAAGGAATTTCTCCAAAATCCACATTCACACACATTTTCTTTGGTCACAGAGGACTGAATAAGTCTTGGAATACTCTACCTACAGTACTAGTGTTTGGAAAGTTGATGGTTCCCATTTTCACTTTTTTTGATTGGCTGATTAGTGTTTGAAGCTGTTGTTTTACCCTTACACCCAAGCTTACAAACAAATGCACAAACCTGTGACAGTTTACAGATAAATGCATCTACTTAAACATACTACCAAGAAAAGAGGCGGACAGATAATGTTTGACTAACCCTAAGGCCATATATCATTATTGAACATTATTACTGTTTAATAACTACTTGTTTGTGTTATAATGGTATGTAATGACCATTGCAATAGTCTATGGGAGTCAGCACTATGATGATTTACACGGACAGATTATATTTATTATATCGAAATATAATTTGTATACCTTGGTAGCTCTTTATTACTTTGTGGTGGAATGAAAATCACTGACCTGTTGCATCACAATGATGAACTTCGATTGGTAAGGAACTAATATTCTGTTCATTAAATCTATGTATACTTTTGAAATTGTTTTTTTCTAGAACATTTATCGCAATATTGTTATATAAAATGCATTGTACTTTTATAGAATAATATAACCAACTCCTTATTCCTTTTATATAAAGGTAAGATTGTTCACATGAGATGCAGCCCTGCAGAGATGTTATGTTCAAACAACGCATTTTCTCACTTAAGACTAGCAGTTGGAGATGTTTTTGGTTTTAAATACCTTTTTTATATACATATATATATGTATACGTAGACCTATCCCAGATGTTGGCAATGAGTGGATTGGAAAACTGTTTCTCCCACAATGTGACATATTTATTTTTTGAAGAACAACTTCATTTAGGAATATGCACCACATGAGCACAATATAAACTTAAAAAAAAGAACGTATACTAAACAGATTTAGACACATGGTGACCTAACAAAACAGGTCCATGAGTTTGGGTCATATTGTATTTGACCATGGTTGATATATCGTTATTTAGTATCATACATTTGGAACATAATCATAATACAACAAATGTGTAAATGAGGCCTTTCCGGGTTAGGGATTTTAGCGCTGTTGGCTTCATTGTGCAATCCAGTTTCGACAAATATCACCTGGACTATCATCTGCATGGTTATATAGCCTACCTTCCGAACTGTGGATTCCAACTTGTTTTTGTTTCAGAACCTTTAAAGAGAAGCAGTGTGTCCGCAACATTTCATCACAGGTAAGAGTTATGAACAGTGAACAACTCGCCTCCTAATTGATCGTCAAAAGTGATCAGATAGTTTGATTTGGATATTTTTCAGCAAAAAAGGATGAATATTTTAAATATAACATCATTTGTTTTTCTTATTTCCTAATTATCATATTGTGACCTTTGACATGTAGAACAATCTTTGAACACATTAAATGAAAGCCAACCAGGGAACCACTGCTCTAGAATTAAATGAGATAATAAGTATTATTTTCGTAAATTATGTGAACTGGCCCTTTGTTTCATCCCTGATATGATTGCTCATTTTTTCACCCAGTCTCATGGTCTCAAACTGCATTATAAGTACTGTAATGAGACCTGTAGGAACTACTTTCCCTCAGAACTTCATGTATTCGTTCTTCAGTCTGCTCAGCCTCGTGCCGTGGCTGCGGATGATCAGAGACAGGAGCTCGTGCTTGTCCTTTAGTCCCTGAGAAATGTCCAGCGTGCCCTTCAGGACGTCCCGTGTGTGCACTACCATGTTCAGAAAGTCGTCGTTGAGCCTGTGCTCCTCCTTTGACTCACTCTCTTGGCTCTGCTTGAATTTCACCTCGAGCTCCAGCAGAGATTTCTCCGAGTTTGTGAAAGCCTCGCTTATCTGAGTCGTCTCCCTCCGCAAGTACTTCCCGTAGCTGTCCTCTCCGTCCAGGTCGTACGAGATGCTTTTCCCGATCCCCTCCAGCACCCGGGCCGAGTCCTCAATCTGCCTCTTGATGATTGTGAAATCATCCCGTATGACAGAGTCCTGGTCCTCATTGAGACTGCACTTTCGCTCGTCGGTCATCTTGAAAAGCATTTGACATTTCTCCGGGTCGTCGTTGTCCTCGTAGTCTCCGTCCGGCACGAAATAGTGATGAAAAGTCCCGTTAGACATCTCCGGCTGCAGCGGTCCGGTGAAAAAGGCTCTACACATCGAAAACATCCCGACACACAGGAGCAAGTGAAGGAAAGCCATGATGCCCACTCGTCCTAAACACAGTTAGGCCTACAAATAGGAAATATTAAACGTTATTTCAGCGACAGTGTCAGCCTAATGGACTATTTAACTCCAACCCGGTGTAGAAACGCAAACATTTCAATCAGGTTTTAACGTCCAAACTGCGCAGTTAAGTTGAGGCTTTGTTGTAGTTTTCACGTCCTCCTCAATATCCTCTTTGTCCAGATTACAAACAGATGAAAGTGGCGTGAAAATGTGTTAAAAAGCCTCACTTTTACTCGAGCCAGCCAGCTTCCATCTTTGCCAATGAGCAGGAAAAGCAATGTATGCAAGTTGTTTCAGCTTGGAAACAGTTGTAGCCTGCTCCCGACTTCACTGGGTGCCTCAAACGCAACATCTGGATGTCTCAAGTGCCGCGCGCTTGGGTTTTGGCCATTTGGCTAATAATACCCCTCTGCTCCTCTCAAATTACAGGCTCTCCGTCACTTTAAAAGGCTGCATTGAGTCTGGAGCAGGCTGCCAGCAGCAGCCACGCTGCAAAAAGCCTCACAGAAACCAGTGTTAATTCAAAATACCATGACAAGTTGGCATGGATGGTTAGAAAGGTTACTTAGAGAGAAGTCTTTTAGAAATAAACAAAAGACCATTTATAAAACATTTCCACTCAATCCAACACAACTGTCCTGTAAGAATTATCCATTACTTTTACAAAACTTAAACATTTTAAATGTGTTTTTTGTAGTTCTGATCCTGACATAATATTATAAAATTAACAGATATTTTCAAAAACACAATAGCTGAAAAGGACAGAACATTTATTCTAAAGCATGAAAACTAAATTAATGAGCAAACAAACAAAGAAAAATACTGTTATGCAGTTGCCCGTAAAACAATGTAAATCTATTTTGCTCCCCACATTTTTAGGTGGATTTATTTTTTTAAACAACTCTCAACAGGATGTTGTCAATCTTTAATAATGCAGAAAAGGAACATTGTCACATGACCATAGATGCCTCAGTAGTGGCACAGAGATACAAAATGACAAAAGTTATTGTACGTTTTACTCCTATATATTTTTCTGCCAGTTGCTTTATGGAACACAAGATTGCATTTATTCATACTCTTGAATGTTTACATAGTATGGTATTGGCATTTTTAATGAAGTAAAGGATTTTAATAAGAAAAAATACTTATAATAATACTTGTTTATAGTCTAGTACAAAAGCTTCTTCAGCTACCTACTGTTGGAAGTATCTGCTCTGATCTGCTTGATACATCTTTGAGATTAACCTTAGGCTCTGCTTGGTTTTTTAACAATTGACTAACGTTTTGATATATTTATAAAAATATAACATAAGTGTAAGAGTAACGCCAGATATAATGTGGTAAAGCAAATGTCTGCCCTGTGTTGTTGGCAGAAAAGTCAGGAGACATAAACGTGTTCACTGAGCTTCCTTTAAACAAAGTGACCACCTGTTCCTGCTGGCATCAAATGACAAGTCCAGTTATGTTGAAAGGACATATAAATACTTTGATGGTCACCTGTTTATGAAGGTGGGACATTTTGTTTTTCATTTTGTAAACTTTGTCCAGATTCTTTTCTATACTGCACGTATTATAAATGTACTTCTTTGGAAATATAAGAAACACATGGAATATGTTTATTGAAGCAGTTTGCCATAAGTGTTAAAAGGTGGAAGACACATTTTAATACGTTGATCCAATAAATACCATTCACTTGAAATGATAATGCATTTTCCAGTACGCTTAAGCTGCTTGAGTCCAGAATGAAAATAAATGACCTTTTATCTCAAGAACTTACACGTTGAGAATGATTTAATCTGTTGAACCCACAATTCCACTCAATGTGTGCATAATCTTTCCAGTGGAAACAGCAGACATTACACCACCTATACCTCTGAGGGGTGCTGCTATTATGTTTCCACTGAAGAGTGATCAGCACAGTTGAGACCTGCATACAGTAAAGCTTGCTCAGGGCAGAGTTTAAAGTAATAAACTCAATTAAAACATTGGTTGATATTCCTTATGTGCAAACTTACTTGTTAAAAAAAGGTTCAGACATTGATAAACAGAAAGTCTTAAACCAGGGTCTGTAAAGTGCATTAATCTGATATTTGATGTGGAAAAATCCCTAACTGCTCACTATGCCTGTATTTAAACAGTAATAACAGCAATTGCTGTTGCTAAGTCCTTGTTAGAGTGTCAATGTTGCTCTCATATTTTGGAAGTATAGCATGTGTGATTGCAATTGTATTAGAAATCTGCAGTGCCAACTCCTCAAAAGAAGAGGATATACTGTGAGAGACCAGCGTGGCAGCCCGGTGAAGCACAACGGTGCCTGTCCTGTGACATTATTCTGCAGAAGGAATTTCAATGTGGTGTCAGACAAAAAAAGAAAATGAAAAAAAAAGTCATGCAATGGTTCTAGGGTGTGGCTCTCTGTTTTGACTTGAAGTCTTTTGTGGCATGTTTACAATAAATCATTTCCCCTAAGACTACATGTTGGCTGCAATTTAAATGGAATAAAACACATTTTACAATATCATTTGAGATTGAGTGCTTCCAACTTGGAACTCAATCGACCAAGCTGGGATTAAATCCAAATTTGGCAAACATCAGCTACTCAAACTGAATCTGACTCAAAGTGATTGAGAAATCTGGCTCAACGATGGTTTCCTTTAATTGCAGAAAAGGGTTTAATTTACATCTTTGAGACAGACTTCTGCACTAAACTCTGTTATAGTTTTAGTAACCTTTTTCATATATTTAAGAGAAAATGTTCATCAATGGCTTCACCCATTGTTGTGTGTAAATGAGCTGAATGCAGAGCAGAGCAGGTGAAATAAAAAGTGGACTTTCCTTGGTCTATGTTCAGAACAGAAGTTGGCTGTCAGAAAGACCATGTCTAAATCAGAGCAGTCAGGCAGATAACACAGGCAGAGATCAAAACATGCAGAAAGCAGGGAGGACAGCAGATGGCTGAAACATAATGACAAGATGCTACATTGAACAGTCTGGCAAAGGGCTAGTGTTTGTGGGCAGGTATATACTGAGTGCCTGATTACAGGCACTGTGCAGCTAAGATGTTTATCTCTAAAGTCACTGTCACACCTTTGTTGTACAAAGATATGGGAGTGTTATGTCTGAGCATAAGGCACACATATAATACTACAAGTACTACTACTACTACTACTACTACTACTAATAATAATAATATTAGGATATTGATATTGTCAATAATAATGATTAATTGTTTACCATGCATAAACAATTCATCATTATAACAAGATTTTCTTTTCGCAAATGACAGTAATTATGTTTCATATAAGTTCGTATGACGTGTTGAATCAAAGTATTGCAATTAAGAAAATTTAAATGTGAGTTAAAAAATACACATTCATTTGTTTAATGTTTTATTTATATGGAGACTTTACTTTATGGCTCAGAGTAGTTTGCATGAAAAGTCTGCTGAAAGTTTTCACTTAGTTTTACCGAATTAAACATAATTAAAAATATCCTATGAAAGTGTCTAGCAAATGTTTTGCTCTTTTTGTTCTTTTTGCCACAGTTGGCTTCAAATTACACTCATACTTTGTAAAGCTCTCCCAAAACTCTCTGGCACTCTGCTTCAAGCCAACAAAGACAAATGAAGCTCAGCGCAAGTTCAGACAGGAAGACCTATCACTTCGTATTGCACGTCATGGCAATACTCGCTCCCTTCACTTAATGATAGGGAGCGCCACTCCTCAGCAAACCTATCACGTCCCTCTATTCACAAGCCTAATCATCGCACCTGGTAATCCCTCTATATATGCTCTCCCCTTTTCTATCAGCTGTCTTCCAGGTGTCAACGCGCAACCCTCCTCCACCCCTTCGCCTCCTGCTTCCAACTCAGGACCAAGCTTAACCTTCTCCCTTCCAACCGGACCTAACCACTTATCACCACCACCAGTGTCTAGACCCAGGGGGGTTCATCGGAAACGGTTCTTTCCTTCCCGAATGACATCCTACCAAACCTGGGCCTAATCGCCAAAACACTATTTCATTCACTTGCTACAAACTGTCATCATTATGTTCATTTATATAATGTGACCCGATAATAAACATGTATTCCATACATCACGTCTCTCCTGAGTGAAAGATGACCCAGTGCATATCGTGCAGTACAGTGGCAGGGACATCATATCATTTGGACTTTGTAGAGTTTGTTTGTGCTGCTGCACACTCTGACAGCTAAATGTAACACAAAGAGACATTCAAAAATTCTTTCTTATCCCTTTTCATTATC